TGGAAGAGTATCTTGACTATCTATTATTGACTGTGATCCACAGTATCAATGATGATCTCTGGCAGTAATCAGACCTGATCAGCTGCTGGAAGAGTGTCTCACTATCCATTATTGACTGTGATCCACAGTATCACTGATGATCTCTGGCAGTAATCACACCCGATCACCAGCTGGAGGAGTGTCTGACTACCCATTATTGACTATAATCCACACTGTCAATGACGATGGCTGGGAGCTGGAAGGTAATCAGACCTGATTAGCTGCTGGAAGAGTGTCTGACTACCCATTATTGACTATGACCCACACTGTCAATGACGATGTCTGGGGGGTGGTGGAGTGTCTGTATTAATTCTCAGACGGGTCAGAGGGTGATACGGCTGTAATCGGTTCAGCCCGGGAGTAAGCAGTGGGACTGACTCAAGATTATTGATGCTCGATAGACAGCGCGGATGGGAGTCTCTGGGACCTGGCTGTGTTTGGGTTGGTGCAGCGGCGGGCTGAGTGTCTGAAATTCTGCCTGGAACAGCGCGTTACCCCTTCTGCCATCCCCCCTGTCTCCCTGGACATCCAGTATGAGTTCACCAACCGGAATCCTTATAACTACCTGCAGGTGACCTACTACAAGGTACTGGCTCTGTGTCTGCCATCTTATCTATGGGTGTACACTGCTGGCTGAGTCTGTAACTGTATATCTCCCTGATTGGTTTATCATCTTACTGTACATCTTGTCTCTATACAGTAACTCTGGCCACCTGTCTCACGTTTGTCTGTTGTGTATCTGTTTGCCTGCATTGATTTCTCATTCTCAGCGCAGTGTGAATCTCTCGTTGTGCTGCAGCTGTATCACCCTGCAGCTCACAACTGGCAGCCCCCCCTGCAGCTCACCAGGTGTGAGCCTGGTCAGTACCTGGATGGGAGACCTCCTGGGAAAAACTAAGGCTGGTGCTGGAAGAGATGTGTTAGTGGGACCAGTGGGGGGCGCTGGTCCTGTGGTCTGTGTGGGTCCTAATGCCTCAGTATAGGGACGGGGACACTGTACTGTAAAAAAATTGCACTGTCCATCAGCTGAGAGATTAATCTGAGGTCCTGACTCTCTGGGGTCATTAAAAATCCCAGGGTGTTTCTCAAAAAGAGTAGGGGTGTAACCGGTGTCCTGGCCAAATTTCCACCCTGGTCTTTACCAGTCATGGCCTCCTAATAATCCCCATCTCTGAACTGGCTTCATCGCTTTGCTTTCCTCCCCACTGAGAGCTGGTGTGTGGTGAGAGTACTGTAGCATCATCCAGGTGGGGCTGCACACTGGTGGTGACAGTGGGATCTATTTCCTGTAAAGCACTTTGAGTGGAGTGTCCAGAAAAGCACTATAGTGTATGGAATCATTATTACCTCCACAGCCTGTAGGGCCCTTGCGTTTTGTGTTGACCTCCGCCTCCTCCTCTCTCTCTCTCGCAGCTGGGCAGGCTGGAGAAGGCGGTGTCAGCCGCCCAAACCTTCTTCGTGTCAAACCCGAGCCACCTGGAGATGAGGAACAACCTGGAGAAGTACAGGAGGATGAAGGGAGTGAGGGAAGAGGCCTTCTTCGACAGGGAGAAAGAGAGGCACTGGGTGAGTGAGAGAGTCAGAAATCCCACCCCCTGCATGGGGATGCAGGTCAATACAACACAGGGAACAGCTGTGCCACACTGTTGGGCCCGGTTCAGGTGTGCCAATGCCTTCAATAGCCTTAAGCCTGCGTGTGGAAGGATCACATATCTGCTTACCCTGGCCACTGACTTCAATAGGAACTGTCACCAATGCCATTTCAAATGCAAATAATATGAAATATATCCTACTGCACAATCCCTGCTCTACTGTTCAGGCAATAACAAGTGTGAGTAACACACTTACAATAAGTGCATGAAAGCTACTCCAATTATACAGAAAATAAGCAAAGGAGTTAGAAGAAATGTTCCTTAATTTACAAAAATGAGTTACTTTTTCCGATTGCTTTGGTTTGTCCGCTACTCACATAGTAAAACTAACATACGTGGCACATTTCTTCATTCTCGTCAGAGGAACATGTCCTATTGGTCATGTTATTTTAACTCCGCAACCTTGAATCCATCCATTTTCTAACTGCTTTATCCAGCAATGGGCACAAGGCAGGATACACCCTGGGCAGGACGCCAGTCCATCACAGGGCACACACACTGACACCAACACACACACACTCACACCGGGGGCAGGTGCTTCATGCCAGCATGCTTTCGGACTGTGGGAGGACACCAGAGCACCAGGAGGGAAACCCACGCAAACACGGGGAGAACATGCAAACTCCACCCAGACAGTACCCCAGGACCTAAACCCTGAGCCCTGGCACTGCGAAGCAGCAATCCTCACTGCTGCCTCTGTGCTCATCCATGCCAGAATCAGAGCCTGCCACCTCCTGCATTCAAGCTCTGACAGGACAGAAGGTCGAGTGGTCTTGACTTCAGGTGAAAGGGTGGCAGCAGGTCCTGTGGTTGAGATATAATCAAGCTTTAAGCAGAGTACCATGAGCTATAGTACAATGCATTTGCTACAGTGTAGTGTAGTGTTTTCTACCGTTTAGTACAAAACAGTTTAGCACAACATAATATTCTACTCTCCAGTACTATACTACAGTGTTACTGCAGTGCTGTATTACCCAGAGTTTGTAGCTGGTTCTTTGCACTTGTGAACTGCCGAGTCCACTTTGAGAAACTAAGTTTTAGACTGAGTGGAAGCAACTGTTTCATGAAAACAGGTGCCTTTTTTTAAGTATGCTGTCCACCTGCTCCAGACACTCTTGTGTCTCATGGAATGAAGAAGTACAGTATCTCTCCATCTCCTCCACCTTGTCCACTTCTCTCTGCCTTTCTCCATATCTCTCCCTGCTTCCAATACCTCCCAATACCTGTGCTCAGACCCTGCATGACTCCGGCGTATTGGCTGAGAGCATCTCCGATTGGCCGCGGGCGGCAGAGGCATGGAGGGAGTGTGTGAACGAGACGCTGGCTGCAACAGAAGATTGCAGAGCGAACTGTGCGGGGGAGGCGCTGCAGCCCAGTGAGGAGGACAACCAGTTAACCGGCACCAAGGGGCTCTACGAGAGAGCAGCTGGTAAGAATGAATGGCAAAAACTACAGCCCCCAGAATGCACTGTACGCATCAGAAGGGTGTTTATGGGAAATGCAGTTTATAGTGTGTACACTTATATCGCATTTTTCTGGACACTCCACTCAAAGCACTTTACAGGTAATGGGGAATCCCACTACCACCACCAATGTGTAGCATCACCTGGATGATGCTCCAGTACTCTCACCACATACCATCAATCAGTATGGAGGAGAACAGGGTGATGAAGCCAGTTCAAAGATGGGGATTATGAGGAGACCATGATTGGTAAAGATCAGGGGGGAAATTTGGCCAGGCCCTGGGGTAGCACACCTACTCTTTTCAAGAAACACCCTGGGATTTTTAATGACCACAGAAAGTCAGGATCTCGGTTTTACATCTCATCCAAAGGACAAAGCCTTTTAACAGTATAGTGTCCCCGTCGCTATACTGGGGCATTAGGACCCACACAGACCGCAGGGTGAGCGCCTCCTACTGGTCCCACTAACACCTCTTCCAGCAGCAGCTTTAGCTTTCCCAGGAGTCTCTCATCCAGGTACTGACCAGGCTCACACCTGCTGAGCTCCAGTGGGGCTGCCAGTGGTGAGTTGAAGGCTGATATTGCTGCTGGCATAACTAATATGATATGACTTACATTTTTAACATTGTTATTTTAGTACATTTATGATGAATTATATGAGTAGATAGCAAATTAACTCTGTCTATCCTCTCCCAGTACAGCTACAGCACTTAAAGGACTGCAGTGTGATATCTGTGACATAGTGAGTCTACTTGAGTCACCCCTCTCTGCTTTTTCCTCATTCTCAGGGCTGTCACTCCAGCTGCTCTCCTGCCGCCAGTCCTGTGTGTCTCTCGTAGCCACGCGACCCGGAAGGATTTCACCCATTGAGGACTTCCTGCCATCGCTCTTGGAGCACCTGCACCTGGCGGAGTTCAAAGGTCAGAGGTCACGGCATGTTTATGCACACGCACATGCTTGCAGTTTTAGAGTCTGTGTTAATCCCATTCCTGTGTATTAAAGTACTGCAGTGCCCAGTCATGTATTCCGGCTGTCAATCAGTAACTCAGTGTTACTGACGTCAGATCTCTGTATGTGACCTCTGACCTGCCTCCAGTTGAGGAGAGGCAACTGATTCAGGAGCAGATGGCCAGCAATAACGATCAGACATGACAGGCGTGTAAGTGTCCTTAACTGATACAACAATGACAGCTGCTTTGTACAGTAACCACAGAACTACAGTGTGCAATGTCCATGTATAATCCTCATTGTAAGCAAATAACCCCTAAAAAGAGTGACCATCACTTATGGAAATAGTTTTCTGTAGAGTATGATTGCTCGATCAAAGCAGAGATCTTACACTCTCCAGTTAGTTGATGTCAGGTCTGCTGGTTCCCTGCCTCTTCTCCTGAATTAGTGGTGGGATGAAAGCAGAAGTCCTCAGCAGAGCTGGAAACTATTATTATTATTGTTATTATTAATAATAATAACATACACTTATATAGCACCTTCCTGAAACTCCACTCAAAGTGCTTTACAGGTCATGGGGAATCCCACTGCCACCACCAATGTGCAGCCCCACCTGGATAATGTGGATTCCATTAGGAGTACAGCGTGTGAGTGTATACTAAGACCTGTCCCCCAACAATTTCTCTCTGGGTCCGGATGTTCAGCCGGCGCCCTGCAGGGGGCGGTGATGTCTGTGCGCGCCTACCTGCTCTTCTACCCCGAGGACCCGGAGACCCTCTCCAACCTGCAGCTCTACCTGAGGACACCAGGGGGCAGCACCCCGGAGAGCGCCCAGCCCCGAGAGGTCAACCACCCCCCGCGTGTCCGTCTCTCTCCTCTCGCCATGTCTTGGGCTGCCTGTGCTCACTCTGCGCAGCTCCTCTGCTCGGCTTTCTGCTGCCTTTCTCTCCCTAGACCCCGTTCCTGTTCAGGTGGGCCAGTCTTGTTGTCTGTATTCACCCCCCCGATTCTCTCTCCCTCTCGCTCTCAGGATATTTCTCGGTATGTCCATCGGTCGCTGCTGGAGAAGAAACTGCTCTACTTTGCGATGGAGAATCTGGGTTTCAAGTTCACCGATCCAGTAGGTCACTGACCCTGTTAATGTCTTATTAGGGACGTTGCTATTTCAGTGGAAATAGCGTGTTCAGGATTGCTCAGGTCTTTCCTCTTGAGAAAATTACTTTGGGATTATATATCAGTTACAGTATACTGTAAATATTTCTGGCTATATACTACACATGCAGATTTTGTATGTCCAAACTCTTGGTGGCACGCGGGTGCAGTGGCCAGCATTGCTGCCTCTCACCGCTAGGGCACTGGGTTCAATTTGTGGGGTGCTGCCTGTGTGGAGTTTGCATGTTCTCCCCATGTTCCCATGGATTTACTCCTCCAGGCCCCAGACATGCTGGTAGGTTCTGGGTAAAGTGGTCCTGGCGCGTGTCTTGTGTGTGTGTGAGTGTGTGTCCATCTGCCCTGTGATAGACTGGAATCCTGTCCAGAGTGTATCCCATTGCTTGCTGGGATAGACTCCAGCTCCCCCTTCAATAGATCGTGCATTGGAAGAAGGGTTTGGAAAATGGAAGGATAGATGTTCAAACTCTTTATCTCTCATTCATTATGAGTCAGTGTGTTCCAGATGAAGGGAATGGAGATGACTTCATGGGCACGGAAGTCTGTTTTTAATCTTATACTAAAACATCATTTTCTATAGGATCTCTGGACTCCAGAATCCGTCATCCCCGAGTCTCTGCATGAGTCCTGGAGGTGAGTGAATCACACATGCAGACACATGCACTGCATTCACACAGTGGCTCACTGTGATGACACTGGAGCAGCAGACTGAAACACAGCTCTGACACTGTCAGTGTGCTGGTCAACGCTGAGCTCGCATTGAACTGCTCACGTGTTGGTGATGCAGACACTGGCACTGTATCAACATTTGGGGGACATATGGACACTGAAATACTGGCACGTTCTTGACATACTAACACTGTACTGACTTACTGACACGCTGACAAATACCCGTACTTTTCTAGAGCAGAGAAAGAAAAACTGGATGAGAGACAGGCAGAAGGACAGAGAGAAGGAGAAACAGATGACAGTGGCTTCTATGCAGGTAAAATACAATTTCCCCCTTTTTTAAATAAAAAAACAACTCTCTCTCAGTGCAGTGTTAATGTACTGGAGTGTCCAGTCAGTGTGTCTGTATTAACCCCTCTCTCTCTCGGTGCAGTGTTAATGTATTGTGGTGCTCAGTGTGTCTGTATTAACCCCTCTGTATCTGTAGGAGGTCCCATTACTCTCCCAGGGGTGTCTATCACAATGGATGATGCCACTCTCAATGGGACCAATCGTGTTGTTCTTGATGGAGTGCTGAGCCCAGAAGAGTGCCGTACCATCTTGGGATTGGCCACGGTGAGCTGTCAATCAAACACACTGACCAATTGAGGAGCTTAGGGGTTTTCCTAGATGGACTAGGAGGGAGGGGATATCACTTCTGTCAGTTCTGCAGAGGCTTTTGAGAAAGTTACATTTCCCCCTTTTTACAGTGAACTATGGGAAGAAAAATTAAGGATATTGTATTTCAAGATCCTGCATTTGGAGAAAACTGTCATGTTTAGAAGTGCTTCATGAAAAGAATGAATATATGGCTAATATTTAACAGTGAAAATTTGCCGTGCCACTTGGAACTAGATTAGGAGCATAATCAGGTAATTTTGAAGCTGAAGAATAAATACCTGAATCGAGAAGTCTGTAGAAGGTCTGTGTGTGCCCTGCGATGGACTGGCGTCCCGTCCAGGGTATATCCTGCCCTGTGCCCAGTGCTTGCTGGGATAGGCTCCAGCTCCCACGTGACCCTGAATTGGATGAGCAGTTATTGAAGTTGTTGAAATACCATCATGTGATGATGAGTCTGTATGAGGTCATGCCCGTTTGGCTCCGCCCCTTGATCTCCCTTCTCTCTCGCTCACAGGCTGCAGCGTCGTCAGGCGACGGTTACCGGGGCCGACGGTCTCCGCACACCCCCCATGAGAAATTCCAGGGTCTGACTGTGCTGAGAGCACTGAGAGTAAGGCCCTGCCTGCGCTGTGCATTTAAACCCTACGAGCTGCTCCTCAAATGATCCGAAGCTTTCGAATATACTTGCGTCTGCGTAACAGAAAATGCCAGGCTTGAGAGCTAGACCCTAGACTACCTCAGAGAATAGTTAACAACCATGCTCTAATTATCATCTTATCAGGAAGTGCAGAATGTAGTGCCATTCAATTTATTATTATATACTCTAGCAGAGGATCTCCAGATGGAAATGCTGAGTCAGCTGCTATACATACATATATAATGACTGAGCCCGGAGTGAAGAGCAAGGGAAGCATTTAAGGGAAATGAAACTAATAAAGAAATAATTCAATAATAGATGAATTGGCCGTCCCGCTGCGCAAGTCTGCCTGAGCGTGTTTCTAACAGGTGTGCTGTCCCGCCTGTGTATGAAAGGCCGATTACATATATAACATATTTAATTACATTTGTATATATAATATATTATGTATAATAAAAGATAATAATAATAATAATCACTTACACTTCTATAGCGCTTTTCTGGACACTCCACTCAAAGCGCTTTACAGGTAATGGGGATCCCCTCCACCACCCCCAGTGTGCAGCCCCACCTGGATGATTAACGATATAGGTAACGATATAGAGGGTGTCTCAGCAGTTTGATATAGAGAGTTTCCGACATATATGTGGCTACATATATACATTATACTATCTATGCACATATATCTCCTTTATATATATATATATGCATCTTCTATGGATGTATTGTTCTTTTAAGAAACGTGCATGGTGGGAGACCATCCCATTATCCCTGGGGCTGCATGATCCCTGCAGCAGTGTTCTGGGATTACAGCGGCTCGTGAGGCTGGGTTAAGTCTGGTACGGACCGGCTCCCCACGCTCTCTCTCTCTCCCAGCTGTCCCAGGACGGGCTGGTCAGCGCCGCCGAGGCGCAGCTGCTGTATGACCTCGGCGAGAGGGTGCGCTCTCTGCTCCAGTCCTACTTCCGGAGCCCCTCGCCCCTCTACTTCTCCTTCACACACCTGGTCTGCCGCACGGCCGTCACAGGTAACCCCTTGCCCACACACACCTCGCACACACTGCACACACACAGCTCGCACACACACACAGAGGTCACACGCACACAGCTCGCACGCACACACAGGGTTCACACGCACACAGCTCGCACGCACACACAGGGCACACACAGCTCGCACGCACACACAGGGCTCACACACAGGGCACACACACAGCTCGCACACAGCTCGCACACAGGGCACCCACAGGGCACCCACAGGGCACCCACAGGGCACACACAGGGCACACACAGGGCACACACAGGGCACACACACACTTTGCACACACACGCACAGCTCGCACACGCGTGCACACACACAGGTCACACACACGGCTTGCACGCACCTCACACGCACTCAGGACTCTCCTGTCCTCAGCACTCCCTGTCTCCCTGCCTCCCTGCAGGAGACCAGGAGGGCCGGACGGACCTGTCTCACCCCGTGCACGCCGACAACTGCCTGCTGGAGCCCGACACCCGGCAGTGCTGGAGAGAGCCGCCTGCTTTCACCCACCGGGACCTCAGGTACCGCTCAGCTTGTTCCAACACAGGAATTGATGGTGCCACAGTATTCAAATAATAATAATAATTCTTTAGACTTATATAGTGCTTTTCTGGACACTTCACTCAAAGCGCTTTACAGGTCATGGGGAATCCCACTGTCACCACCAGTGTGCAGCCCCACCTGGATGATGCTCCAGTCCTCTCCCCACACCCCAGCTCTCAGTGGGGAGGAGAGCAGAGTGATGAGGCCAGTTCAGAGAGGGGGATTATTAGGAGGCCATGATGGGTAAAGGCCAGGGGGAAATTTGGCCAGGACACTGGGATTACACCCCTACTCTTTTCGAGAAACGTCCTGGGATTTTTAATGACCACAGAGAGTCAGGACCTCGGTTCTACATCTCATCCGAAGGACGGCGCCTGTTTACAGTACAGTGTCCCCGTCACTATACTGGGGCATTAGGACCCACACAGACTGCAGGGTGAGCGCCCCCTACTGGCCCCACTAACACCTCTTCCAGCCACACCTTTCACATGGGGTCTCCCACCTGGGTACTGACCAGGCTCCCACCCGCTGAGCTCCAGTGCGCTGCCAGTGGTGAGTTGCAGGTTGATATAGCCGCTAGTCAGTGGAAAAAGTACCAAAAATCAACTGGTTTGTTTGTACTTGTAACGAATTGGAAGCTTTTATGTGTAAGAGAAATTAGTGTCATTTTTATGAGCGGTCGCTTACGAGCAGACATTTTGGAACCGATTGTGCTCCTATATCCAGGGCTGTGTGTACTGACAGTAGTGCTATTCTGGTGTAGGCCACTAGATGGCGCCAATCTGACACCTGCCTACCAGAGTGTGACCTTTATTTATCATCACCACAGCGCACTCCTGTACCTGAACGACGACTTTGAGGGGGGAGACTTGTTCTTCACCGACAGAGATGCCAAGACTGTGACTGTGAGACTCCGAGTCATTTACCTTGATGTTCAGCCAGGCAATATTAAACCCTCTCCCTCTTTTTGTCAGTCGGTACCAACCTGTCTTTCCCTGGCCAAAGAGAATCTCTCCATCTGTCAGTATTCTTCTGCCTCTCTGTTCATCCATCAGGAAGAACTTGTCTCTCTCTCCTTTTGTTTGCTGAAACCTGTCTGTCTCTCAGTCAGTAAGAACCAGTCTCTCTCACACCTGTCACTCTCAGAGTCAGTAAGAACCAGTCTCTCTCAGTCAGTAAGAATCTGTGCTGGTCTCCACCCATTGGTACAAACCTGTCTCTCTCCCGGTTTTGCAGGCAGTGGTCTCCCCTCAGTGTGGACGGTTAGTGGGGTTCTCCTCTGGACCGGTCAATCCCCACGGTGTTTCTGCAGTGACCTCTGGGCGGCGCTGTGCCCTGGCACTCTGGTTCACACTGGATAGACTGCACAGAGACATGGTAAGCAGGAAGCAGTGTGCCGGCCTGCACCACAGACCAGAAAACCACAAAGCAATGGATCACACTACTCTGCGTGCATATACACAGCAGAGACATGATCAAACAGACTATTTCAGTGTACAATCAGTGCATCAACCTGTAGTACACTGCAGGGGCTGTGCAGAGTTTAGAAAAACAATAAACAATACTGATCATTATGTCATAATGTACCAAGGTGAACTTTAGTGTACTGTGCATAAGCAAGCTACAATACCGCTGGGTTCTATGGGTACTGTATATACTGCAGAGAATGGGCATTCCACAATCCTTTGATGGGGGACTGACCTAGAGGCATTGAGTCACAATCACACAGGTGGAGCTTGTGACCTGTGCTGCAGTGTCCTGTCGGTTGATCGGTCAGTGTCCAGGAGCTGCAGTGTCCAGCTCGCCAGTCAGTCCAGGTGTCAAGGTGCTGTAGTGTCCAGTTGACTGGTCAATCAGTGTCAAGACTCTGCAGTGTCCAGTTGACTGGTCAGTCAGTGTCAAGGCGCTGCAGTGTCCAGTTGACTGGTC